AAACATTTTTACATACATGACTTACAAACTTCTTCAGTTAAAAAAAAAAAAAAACTTCTGAAATTCTTGGAACTGTCAGAGACTAAGCTCTGTAAAAAGGCAGAGGCTATCTCTATCTTGGTCATTAATATTTCCAACAATTAGAAACATGCCTGTGAAATAAGATACATTTAGTATCAGGTGAGTAAATGAACTGATGAAGAGAGAAAACATTGTCTCTCCAGCTTATTTCACCTGACTCTCAACGTGCAGGTTTCTGCTGGAAACAAGCTAAACTGCTTCCTCCTCTTCTATAGCTTTGCTTATCCCCTTCCTGCCTGGGGTACCTGCCCCCTCACCACTTTTTTTTTTTTTTTTTTTTTTTTTTTGAGACAGGGTCTCACTCTATTGCCCAGGCTGGAGTGGTAGAATCATGGTCACTGTATCCTCGACACCCCTGGGCTCAGGTGATTCTCCCACCTCACCCTCCTGAGTAGCTGGGACTACAGGCGTGCGCCACCACGCCTGGATAATTTTTGTATTTTTTTTTCTAGAGATGGGGTTTCACCATGTTGCCCAGGCTAGTCTCAAACTCCTGGTCTCAGGTGATCCATCCACCTTGGCCTCCCAAAGTGCTGGGATTACAGGAGTGAGCTGGTGCGCCCAGCAGCCCCATCTGTTTTCTATCCAGTAATACTCAGGTTTCAAAGTCTAACTCAAATACTATCTCCTTATAAATGGTATTATAATCCACATGTGATAGGCACTAAACAAATACTTTAAAGTTCATTCTTTTTGTTTTGTTTTGTTTTTGTTTTTTGAGACGGAGTCTTGCTCTGTCACCCAGGCTGGAGTGCAGTGGCGCGATCTCAGCTCACTGCAAACTCCACCTCCCGGGTTCAGGCCATTCTCCTGCCTCAGCCTCCCAAGTAGCTAGGACTAGATGCACCTGCCACTACGACCAGTTAATTTTTTATATCTTTAGTAGAAATGGGGTTTCACCATGTTAGCCAAGATGGTCTCGATCTCCTGACCTCGTGATCTGCCAGCCTCAGCCTCCCAAAGTGCTGGGATTACAAGCAAGAGTCACCACGCTCGGCCCCTAAAGTTCATTGTTTAGAAAGTAAAGCGTGCACATGAGAAAGGATAATGATTCTTTGATATTAATTCATCAATTTAAATAGTACGCAGTTCATTCATGGTATTATGATAGACGTTGTGATGGTTAACTTTATTTGTCAAGTTACTCAATAAGTAGGGTACCCAGACATTTGGTCAAACATTTTTCTGGGTATGGCTGTGATGGTGTTCCTGGATGAGATTAACATTTGAATCGGTACACTGAGGGAAGCAAGTGGCCCTCCCTAACATGGGTGAATCTCATCCAATCAGAGACCTGAACAGAGCAAAAAGGCTGAGTAAGAGGAAACTCCTCCTGCCTGACTGCCTTGCACTGGGACACAGGTCTTCTTTGCCTTTTAACTGGAACAGAAACATTGGCTCTTCTTCAGTCTTTAGCCTGCCAGCTTTCAGACAGCAACTACACCACCACAGGATCTCCTGGGTCTCCAGCTTGTCAAACGCAGATCTTGGGACTTCTCAACCTCTGTAATCATGCGAGCCGATTTCTTAAAATAAATCTTTATTTCATACACACACACAAACACACACACACACACACAGATCCTACTGGCTCTGTTTCTCTGGAGAGCCCTCATACAGATATTTATTCTTACAACTGAGCTTTTGTTCATATTACACAGCAGCTCTGATAAGCACCTGGAACATGGGTATTACATGGTACTTAACAAGATTAAATTATTGTTCTTCCTGAGCATTTTTCCAGAAGTATTAGAAAAGACATCCACCCTTTCTCTAGGATTACCCTCTCTGCCAGGAACCATTTACCTACCAAGTGGATGAGAATAGGAGCCTATCTGAGAACAAAGCAGAGTAGATGTAGGCAGAGCAAAAAGATGGCGAGAAACACCCAAAAACGGAGTAGCACAGACAGAAATCAAGCCCCTAAATCCAGCTGTATCCACAAGTCTTTGACTTCTCAGTCATGTGAGCAAATAAGTTATTTTATAAGTTAATTTGAACTGGGTGTTACTGTTTGCAAATAAAGTCTTGAATAATACAATACTTCCCTGTGCAAACTGGAGAGCCTACCACACATGTGGATGAAAAGGCTGTCACGGTGGCTTTATCAAAAGTATTGTTTAAGGTCAAGGGAAAGCTAAAACTTTAACAAAATAAAATGTATCAACACCAATATGTCTACTTGCCAAATTGAAGTGGGTGCTACATAGTTCCCATGGACTCTAGTAACTTAATTCATAAGCTATTGTATTTGTATACTCAATGGAGAGCATGAATTTTCCATTATTAATATTTCTGAACTTATAACTACCAAGAGTTATCTTCAAAGATGAAACTCCTTGCCAAGGTTCTAGTTTTCCAGAGTTCAGGAGGTTAAATGAATGTGTTACTTACATTTCATTTTTAAAAATTTTGACATTACATCTATTGAGCCCTTACTATATATGTCAGGAACGCACAAAAAGCATTATATATTTTAACGGCCAATTCATTTCTATGAAGTATGTACCATTACTATTATTGCCCATTACAATCTTCAAAGATTAATATGAGATTAAAATAATGAGCCTAATAATAACAGTCATGGTGCTAAACACTTGTCAAGAGGATACTATTTGCCACACACTGTACTAAGTGTTTCAAAAGAAGCATCCTATTTAATCTTTACGATTACCTTCTAAGGTAGGTACTATTATCCCTGTTCTACAGATGAGAAAACTAAGGCTTGGAGACTGAAATGCAGACCCAAGGCTTATACACCACAACCGAATCAGTCTGAAAGGTTTGAAAACATTCCGCATCGCATCCAAATAAATTGCATACCATTATCTGAAGTGCATTTCAAGTTGTGTAATAAAGGCTTGAACTCATCTACATTTTTTATGCTCTTGAACTGCCATGCGGTTTACATTTACATTTTCCTCTTTAATTCCTCATCTCTGGAAAAAGTAAAGACTCATACTAAAGGAAATATTTATTCCAGCTCAGTGAGTAACACAAGATCACTGATTTAGAGTTAGCACTTTTTATTTCACAAACTGTTCCAAAACGGGGCAGACTTCAGACATACAGAAATGTGGTTTCAGATTAACAGAGCTTTAAAAAAGCTATTAGTAAACTAAAAAGCTATTAGTGAAGTCCTGTTGGAGTAAATCTGATCCCTACTGTGTGGAGACATCTCAGTCCTGAAAATGCCTCTCTGCAAGTTTTTACATAGCAGATATCCAAAGCATGTATTTTCTTTTTGTTTTTGTTTTTTTCTTCAGAGACAGAGCCTTGCTATGCTGCCCAAGCTGGCCTCAAACTCCTGAGCTCAGGCAATCTTCCAGTCTCAGCTCCCCAAATACCTGGGACTACAGGCATGAGCCACTGAACCCAGCTCTCAAGGCACATCCTTTAAATATCATATTTTGTACAAAAACTACATTTAAGGCATTTTCTTGTCAGAAAGATGCATATAACTATATATGAACACCTTTAGAAGCATAAAATACACTAGAAACATTAATCCCATTAAAGAAGGGTATAATCTTTAATTGAATTCACGTAAGTGTAGATCACAGACATACACTCACATATAACAAACGTAACTGAAAAGTTACTTATTGACACTTTACCACTGAGCAAACTCCACATGACATAGTTTCAAATAATTGTCTTACTTTGGGCATCAAAAGTACTCTTACAGTACATATCAATTATCAGAGCTGTCCCTGAAACCAACTGCAGAAGTGTAAAAAGGAAAAAAGAAACAAGAGGCTGGCCTAGAAATCAAGCCATTACAGATCAAGCTCCAGTCAATCTAGACAGGCTCCCCCAGACAGTGGAAGGGTCGACACAGAACACCCACACACTTACTATGAGGTACCTTCCTCAACCAACTGGAATGGTTGAGTGCTTCATCTATAGCAACTGGCAATTTCAGTTATTTGGGTTTTCTTTAATGTGAACCTAATATTATATGAGAGAGTTCAAACTCTTAACATTGGCCAAAATCAGAATGTAATTACATCTGGTTTGTTTATTACGATATTTGTTTTGTTTTGTTTTGTTTCTTTTTTTTGTTAATGAGAACAGCAGGTCTCAAGAAGTTGAAACAGTCGAGGGAAGCATTAAGTTAGGCTGTCATTCTTATAAACCTGCCAAACCGACCCAGATTGCGGTCGAGGCCCTGAAGAAAGCCATGATCAGGCAGGCATATTAATGCATGATATACAATCTAGCATTCATTTAATTTCACAAAATCTTCTTTAATATCGACATATGGCATATACTTTTTGGAACTAGCTTTGATAAAATTGACAGTGTCCCCTCAACTATAAGGTGAGATTTTGGGGTTTCGCATGTTTGCATTAGGTGCTCTCAGTAGTCATCCTGCTGTGTGTTTGCTCTATGAGCAATGGAGTAAAAGAATACAAAATCCCTTTCTCTTGATGAATACTCATTACCTGTTCTGCCACCTCCACCCAACCCCTGAGAAAGTCCTGCTCAGAACTAAACCTAAGTTCTATTCCAAGAATTTGGAGAAAGGCATTACCTCTATCTCTATTATTTCTGAGTAGAGCCAGAAGTCTCAATTTCATGTTCCAGTAGTCTTGTAATATTGATCTTCAATCATAACCCTCACCCCTTGAGCCATGAACACCTTTAAATCTGCATAACTTCAAAATCATGCTTCTGGCAGAAAACAGATTAAGCTTTAAATGGATGTCTTCGAAGATGAACTGAGATTCTTCTGGGTCTTCTGCAGTCTAACAGTTCCTGCATCTGTCTCTAAACTTTTTTTACAATGAGTACACAAGCATATGTGTATAAATATAAGGACATCAAGACCCCAACCCCATCACTGAACCTCGTTTGACAGAAGCTTCCTGGGTAGCCTACACTTCCCTGCATGAATACAACTGCATGATACTTACTGGGGAAGTAAGACATCTCGAATGAGAGCCAGAAGATTGCTGTCAGAATCGACACTGGCCTTCTCCTTGCCATCGCCAAACTCCTGGTTCACGAGTAGAGACGTGGTTTCTGAGAGCAACCGCAAGCTAAAGAGTCTCCACTCCACTTGAAAGAAAAAAAAAAATGCCAAGAATGTGACTCCATGGAGATAGAATGAAAACAGAATGTGTAGCTGATGGAATTCTTGCTGGTGTCATCACACTTACCATTTTGGCTTTGAACCAAGGACACCAAGGGTGGCAGGATATAATCAGTAACCTAAAAGGAAACATGTAAAAGACTTAGTTCAAATCTCTATGAACACAAAACTGATATCAACCACTATCTATATTTTTTCCACAGACAGAATTCCTAATCAAAGGAGTGAAAAAAACAATGTCTAAGTTTATTCTGGATTTCAACTCTCCATGACATTTAATAAACCACCAAGCTCATTTATCTCTAAAAAAGTCCTCAGGTCGAAATGACATTATGAAAATCAAAACAGTAATTTCTCAAAACCTTCAGGGTCTATGAAAGGAACTTAGAATATAATGCAAAATCTAGTCGGCACAGATTGGCATTAAACCATCAGATTAGTTATGTATAAGCTGGTGATCATTACTTCAAGTTTAACCTAAACAACAATCAAAATGTTGGGAAAAAAAGAGACACATAGTCCCCACGTTTTATCAAATACATCAAATAACTATGACAAGTCGGTCTTGGTTATTTTTAGAAATAGACCCCAAAGATGTAAATCCACTAGACAAACCACCTCTGCGAGTTCCCAGTTGTATCAGACAGAGAACAATCAATATGGTTTAAAACTTAACCCCAAAAGACAAGTATTTTCCTCCAAAATACCAAAAAAGAAAGAATCCCTACGCTCATCTAATGATGAAAACTACTGTTTCATTTGATGAACTATTTTAGTGACAATAAACAAAATTCCCATTGTTTGTGTACTTGTTCTCTCTATACTGATAAAAGAGCAGGAGAATCTGCGCACCGCCAAATGACATCTTGCTCTCCATACCAGCAAAACAATGCCCTGCAGAGGCAAGAATCTCCATACGTGATTGGTGGCCCACTAGTATTAACCTGTTCTATTTCCAGTTGACATAGGAAATTTCTATGTGATAGTATCTCTCAATATTTTTACAAGGACCCTAAGAACCAGGGGTGTTTAGTTCACCCTCTTCCACTAAGTGATGTCACATCACATCACTCAAAGCACAGATATCATGCTTCACCAAGGTATTTTGAGAACTCCAAACTTATAGTTATGTCTAAAGAAAAAACTATGCAAAGGAAAGAAATATATGCTGCTATCAATACTACCAACATGATCAACAGCTATCTTAAAGGTTGAATAGTGTATATCACGAGAGGAGTAAGACTGAAACAAATGATCTAAGTGCCCAACTCAAGAAATTTAAAAACAATTAAATGGTCAAAAAAGCAAGCTTGTCAGAAGATGAATACAGAAAAATCAACAGTATTTATGAGACAGAGTAGGAATGAGGCTTGGCTCCAGCTCATCCCTACTAGAGCATTCTTTCATACATTCCCAGTGATCACAAAACCCACACCACTACCTCACTGATGCCATACCCGCTAACCCCAAGGCTTTAGTCATGCTATATTGTTCCACTGAGCTCTCAAAATGTTTAACCATGCCTTTTACTTAAAGAATTCCAGGAACTGGCCTTAGGAGATTCAAACTATCAAACCAAGGTTGTGGAGTGTCCCACCTCAGGAAGGAATGGCAGCCTTGATGCTCCTGGCCAGATCACCAGGTGGCCCATTACTCAAGATGACCATTGTAACCACATACGCTGCCCTGCACACCCTACCCATCATGTGCTTTGCCCAGTCCAGCATGCATACCCTACCCCTCGTATCAATTTCCATGCTTTGCCTAATACAAAATCCCAACCAGCTCTTTTCAGAGAGTCAGTCAGGGAATTCTCTTTCTCTCTCTCTCTCTCTCTCTCTCTCTCTCTCTCTTGCTGCTTCCCTCATCGCCGGACATAAGCTCCAATGAAGCCTTGTCTGGGAGAACTCTGTCGGCCTCATGTCCTATTGCATTAAGAGCCCAAGAACTCAGGGTCAGTAACATATTCATTCAGGGCTTATCTGGGATCACCAGACATGGGGAGCTTTTTTCTCCTCTGTGGAGGGAGGCTTGTGAGCCAACAGGACAGCGGGACGTGACCCCTTCGTGGCTGACAGGAAGTCACCTGAAGTTTTGATTCAGCGCTGTTATGACTGGTGAGTTCTTCCTCCAGCCTCCCTGAGATTCCTCACAACCCAGCCCGAACAATGCTTTCCCTTCCCTCCTGGTCTTCTATTTGTTGTGTCTTTCTTTTTCTTTCTTCTTCCTTTCTCCTTCCCTTCCTTCACTTTTCATTAACTTCATTGTTTCAGCCTAAATAGACACCCATGTGGCACTGATTCAGCCTCAGTAGACACCCACGTGGCACTGGTTCAACCTCAATAGACACTCATGCAGCACAAGCCAAAACGGTCATTCAGTTCAGCTGGTAGGAAACCCTGTCTGGCACTGGGCTCTGTAATTTTCTTTAAGTACGTTCCCTCCCTTTGCCACGCCTTGTGGGAAAGGGAAGGCTGTGGACTTTGTCGTCTGTCTATTCAAGCCTGCAACAAACCCTGGGTGCTATCTTTGTGAAGAGAGGACTGACAGCACATGGGTCCTGAGTTTGTGTCACTCCCGTCCTGATCCATTTTTCCTTCTTGTGTGTTTCATTTGACATCTGATTCCCCCATGCAGACTGTTGGGTGGCATCTTGCAAAGATAAGAGGCTTTCCTTCAGTTCCTCCATAAAATGGACAAAAGATGACTTCCTCTTGTAATGCAGCTTGGCCCCCACAGCTATGCTGCAGTGAGCAGAGTCAACAAAAGCTGCTTTGCTCTTCCAGAAGCTACACAGAAAGGGAACCCAGAAACCTGGCATGCCAGCAAAAGGTTAAGGATTTCTTACCAGCCAAGCTTCTGGCCTGCTTCTCTGTGCAAACCAGTTGAGTGAAATGGTAAAGATAATCTATTTCAGACAGTAAATTCTTAGAGACCACGGAGATGCCTCCTCTACCCCCTCTCTAGAAATACCACTTGCTTATATTATAAAAACCTGAAAAATTACCATCTGAGCTTTAAAGGGTTTTAGGATTGAGTCGCTATTGAAACTAAGTACATCATTAAAGGAAAAGCACTTTTCTCATTCTCAACAATTTTTAAAAGGTTTAAATTAAAAAGAAGGATGCATAAGAATGTCATGGCTAGCCTTACAAATTATCTTGAGCAGGTGAAATTCCTTGCAAGCTTGAAAATGGCTACTCGAGTTTCCTTCTGGGAAGACCAATGACAACAGCCTCATGCTGTAGTTCAGTGGCTAAGGCTGTGCCTTTTCACAATGGCTGCCTGGGTTCAATACCTGGCATAGAGAATGAGTCCCTTCTGGTTTTATATTTGTGTGACCTTTGCCATTTATTATTTTCCCCTCCATGAACAACTTCTGACTTCCTGTCTTGAATTTTCCTTTCTCTGAGCTACCTTTGAGGTAATTCTAAATCTTATAAAAACTGCTTGCCCTAAAAGGTTAGGCAAGGACAATAACTTGTTCAGCAGGAAGTAGCTTCCGAAGATGAGATCTTCGGCCCTTTCTCCTTAAGCATAAAGAAGGTGAAATTTCTCAGCAGGGAATGAGACAGCAGGAATGGGGCTTGGCTTCAGCTCACCCTCACCAGAGCATTCTTTAATACATTCCCACTGATCACAAAACCCACACCACTACCTCACTGATGTCTTACCCACTAATCCCAAGGCTTTAGTCATACTCTGTTGTTCTTCTACGCTCCCATAATGTTTAACCATGCCTTTTACTTAAGGAATTCCAAGAACTGGACTTAGGAGATCCAAAATAAACCAAAGTTGTAGAGTGTTCCACCTCAGGAAGGAATGACAGCCTTGTTGTCATTGGCCAGACCACCAGGTGGCCCATTTCTCAAGATAAACATCATAAGCAGTTGTGCTGACCTATATACCCTACCCTTTACGTTCTTTGCCCAGCCTAGACTGCATACCCTACCCTATTTATTAATTCCTATGTCTTGCCTAATAAAAATTTCCAGCCAGCTCTTCAAAGAGTTTGTCTGGGAATTCTCTCTCATGATACTTCCTTTATGCCCAGGCATAAGCTCCAATGAAGCCTTGTATGAGAAAACTCTTTTGGCCTCATGTCAATTTCTATTGCACTGAGAGCCCAAGGACCATGGTCAGTAACATTTATATGTACCTACAACAACCAACTGAATAACATAATTCAAAAAAATTCCATTTACAACAGGAATATTGTGATCTTAGCAAGAATATATATATGGATATAAATGTATGTGTGCATATATGTGTGTGTATGAGCATATGAATATATTTACAGGTACTATAGTCGTTGATGGACTTCTGGGTTCTAGACCAACATGTAAAGAGTTTGGAAATCATCACAACCAACCATACAACAAAGAAAAAGCTAAACAAACTAAAAATCAACAACTTTTCTTAGATAGGTCAAAGAATTGAAGTCACAGGGAAACCACCATCCTCAAAACTGGAGGGACAAGCAAATTCAGAAAATCACAGCCTACCAGGAGCAGGAACCACCGCTGGAGACAGCAACCACAACAACAACATAAAGGGTGATTGACTGAAAGTTGGAGATTGAGCATGGACTAGTCTGAGAGATTAAAAACTCCCGGAGGCCCAGCCTTAGGAGAGGCCCCATGCTTCTGCAAGTGTTACCGTCAGGAGCTCCCCACCAACACCACTTTTCAGGGTGAACTTGGAGAAAAAAATCTCCTGGTACTTCAGTAGGGGAAGGAGAAATTTAACCATTTTGAAATATGCCCAGAGCATTGTTTAACAAAGGTCTGGACTCAGGGAAGCTATTTTACAACAGCCTAACTTAATGGGGTTTTAGCAGAACTTAACTCCCCAGGGCAATGGAAATGCCCAACTCCAGGCCCCTCTAGCCTTCTTGTCTCACCTACAGTGGGAGGTTGGGGACGCTGAAAAGCACTTGTGAAGGTCACAGCCTAGGTACTCAGACTCACCAAAAGAGTAAGACCTAATCACAGAACTATACAATACATCCCTTCCCCCAACACCTTACCACAACATCAACATGGCTTCAGCATAGTAACACAGACTTACAACTGATACAGGTGGTATTTAAGACAGAGTTCTTAGGGAAACCCAAAGA